AGAGAGAGAGAGAAACTGAAAGAAGCAGACAGAGACAGGTTGACAGGACAAAGACGGTGCAGTACTGACAAAACAAGAACACAGAATCAGCAGAGTGTCGTCAAACTCTCCGGCCATGTTGCGGGACACTCACCCCCACGGCCTTGTCAGATTCGGGTCACTTCCCTCCTGGATCCTGACATACTATCCCATGGCGACCCACAGAACATCTTTATTACTTTTCGACTTTCCCCAGACCATAATTGCACTCAGCCAACCCTCTCCTCACTATTTATGTTTTCTTTACCCCTTCCATCAAAGTCCTTTAAGTTCTTACGTCTGCCTGCACCCCCCGGCCAGCCCCACCTCTTTTTTGTCCAATTTTGTTTCATCCATCTCCCACTGTACCCCAAGGTATATAAGACTAACTCCGAACCTTGTCAACCTCGGTGTTTAATTAGATTTAAGAGAGCGACAAGTTCATTGACTCGATAGCTGGTTTTTGTTAGTACAGAAGTTCAACAGCCTTTTTGCCCTTTAAAAGTTGTTTTCGATGACAAATGTATTTACACCAAATTTGAATATTTTAACTTTTTAGCATTTTAAAGTAAATTAGTTAGCCAGTCGTGAAGTGAACTTTCGCAGAGGTGAACAACTTGTGTTTCGCGCGCTCATATGACCTTAGCAGTTGCGAGCGCCGTAAAACCTTATACTATACATACATACAGACTTCTCTTTAACGCCCGTCTCCGATATGATCAAACTACGTGCTTGGAGTTGGAGAGTATGGGGGCACTCTCTGTTGTCTTGTTGAAAATTTGGAAAACGTTCACACACCCCCCCCCCCCCAAAAAAAACAAAAAAACAAAAACAAAACAACAACAACAACCCAACAACAATAAACTCACATTTTGTCTCGTACCGGTACATCTTCTACTTGTTGCCAGAAGTCCGACTAAATTTTCCGGATTAATCCAGAAAACCCCCCCCAAAAAAAAACCGCACTCAAAATGCTGGGGAAAAGCGAAAAGTAAGACAGACTGAGACAAATAACATAGACGACAGTAAGTAAGAGTGACCAGAAACCAGATTCCCACCTGTCTTTGTCTTTTAACAATATAACGAGGGTTGACTTCTTGTTATGGAAGGGGTTGTTATCCCCCACCCCACATCCCCACCCCACTCTATCTCTATCTCTCTCTCTCT